ATACTGGCCAAACAGGGAATTTTAAGCCCTTTCCCCAGAACAATGCTACAGTTGTATAAAATCTGTGGCATCACAGGATCCAAGTTTCCAATCTCCTTTCTATTGTTCAGCCTCAGCAGACCTACAGTAACTGGACGGTGGTGATGGTTCATGTCACCTCTCAGCAGGCGGAAGTCAAACGAGAGGTGGGCCATGATCACCAGAGAAAGCAGACGTCTTCCCCTGCTATGTTTGTACGCGACGGAGACTTACGCTGGGGCCTGACCACGCCCTTCCTTTCCCAGGTGTGGGTATTCTGTGCGTGTTCTCATGACATCACCCCATACTACCAGCAGCATAACCTACACGTATACACATACACATACCTGCACACACATATACATGTATATGTGTATGTTCTATAGACAGCACTTCAGCACCATGCTCGGGGGCCATTTTAAGCTATGGAATCACCAACCAAAAGCACAAAAAGGAGTAAATCGTTAGAACACATAAAGAACACCTGTTTAGAGGACAAGCGTTAAAAGAGGAAGGGCAAAGCAGTGACTTGTTCAGACTTAGCTAGGAACGTGGGTGTCTATGGACTAGAGAGTTTTACTGCTCTGCACATTCATGGATGACTACAGCAGAATCACGAGTATTGACTTGGGGGTTCTGAACAGATTTTAGTCAGTCAGCAAACATGCACGTATGAGGAGAAACTCTGTATGTTCTGCAATATACCGTGAGCCTTCTGAGAGCAGGATGCAGACAATGCACACCCTTCCTTATTCCAATGAAAACAGCACCATGCCTTATCCTGGCCAATCCACAGACTAAACTATTTTCAAACATTCATAAATTAGAGTTGTTTTTTTTTTTTTTAACTTTGAAACCTATACAGACAAAAGTGATAAAAGTGGGTTTTCTCTGCTTGGTTTCTGTCCTCCTTGCCTTCTGGGAGGGTAACATAAATTGTACAAGACGTTACGGGGCAAGCCAGCACCAGCAACACTAGAAATCATGCCTTTCTGATTCTAGACTCTTGGCTCCGTGCATTTTTCTTTACCCACAGCTGACTCACTCCCCAGGGGCTCTTGCAGTAAAAGACAATGATATTTCCTCCCCCAGAAAGTGAGTGATAAAACCACACGTACAACTCCCAGCTAGGTGCCATTCCTGAGCTATCTGGATTGCGAACATGTCTAACAGAACGGCTGGTACCAAAATGAATATTTCACCACAAACTATAAATTGTACAGTCGGCATTTCAAATGCCCCTGCTCTCATCAGGGATGATTGGGTAAAAAGGCCTCCTGGAAGTAATTAATCTCTGCTCTATGCGGAGCCCTGTTAGGGAGACCTGAGCCCCGAGATCAGTTAAGACGCATGATTTAAAGGGAGCCGCACAAAAAAAAATCTGCCACAAACATAACCATCTATGTAGGAGGTCTCCTGGAGCGTTTTCAACACATTTCTGTGTTATAACTCACCCCGTGTGAAGTTATAGAAGGACTGCACTTAAACACTTGAGGTTTGACAATGTAAAATGAAGCAAACTTAGACCTCAATCTGTGTCAACACCAACTCAATGAAGTTTTCAACATCCTTCATGCCCGGGTCTGGCAGAGGGTCTGGGTGACGCAGCCACAGCTCACATGTCTGCCAGTCCTGCGTCTCCCTGCCCGTGAGGGCCGTGCTGGAAAGGGTTCCCGCAGATCCCAGGCCTCCAGGAACGGCCTGTGGCCACACAACCCTTTCCAGATCTAATGTTCCAGGAAATGTGCTGCCATAAACAACGTGACTCCAGGAGAGCTGGTCACTGATTTCATTCTGCCATCCCCTATAAACCCATGTGAGGAAGCATCTGGGCTTTCCCGGCTTGAAAACTCTAGGTATTATTGGGTATTACTGGGTATTAACGATATGTTCCTATGGGAACTCTCCTGAATGAAGGAATCGATGGGGCAAGGACGCGAGAGCTAGATGGTCCAGGGAATGGAGGGAGGCAGGGCTGTTCTCCACCCCATGACTGATGCGTTCAGAGCGGATTGCCCATGTTGAGCAGGGAGGCTGAAGGCATCTGAGTCCTGGAAGGGGAGCCAGCTGGATGCATCGCCGCAGACCTTCAGGGCACCCTGAGCAAGACCCATTCCAAATCCCAACTGCGGGCAGTGCTGGGGTGCTAATACACCAGCAGCCATAACAAGGACCGGGCCAGGCATCAGGTGGTTGGACCAGGACCGGGTCAGGCATCAGCCGTGATGGAGCTGGAGGGGATGCGAAGCTGGTCAGGACCCAGGACACATTAGTCCACTGTGCCTCTGCCTCGGTCTGTCACCGGACTTGCCTTTATTTCCGATTCAGGGAACACAAACTGGCCTTCTGGAACAGTCCTCTAGACGGACACTTGCTCCAGGACTCAAAACAAACACTATCTGATCTAGAAGAATTCTGGCACCCACACAACAACCGAAGTCTGCCATGTTTCTGACACTGCTATAGCGCATTTGCACAAAGACGCAATCTCGCTAAGAACAAATACTAATGAGATGTCTGCCTTCCCGGTTTGCCCACGCCATGTGCGGGACCATTTTAGAGTTCGTTGGCAATACAATTCTAGCTGAGCACAAAGTCATTACAGATACTGAAAATGTGAGGCCAGAACCGAGGATATTAGGACCTTGCTTATCCTTCATTCTCTGGGCTTAGACAAGTCCTTGTGGCTGAAAAGCACGTAAGAGACTAACCTGCCAATTCTTTGTTTGTTTTTCACTTTTCAAATTCCACTAAGCTTACCATTTCTCTGGCTACCTGGATCAAAAACAGAGTTTTAAATTTTGTTTTTAGGAATTCCAATTTGTGTAATTCCAATTTGTTTTTAAAGTAGACCTCAAACTTCTCCCCTGAAGAACGCTAGCCATCGAAGATTTCAACCAATGCCAAAGTCTCTAGTGGTGAGTGCTGTATGGAAATCAATTTGATTATAAATTTCATATTAAAAATAAAGAAACAAAATAAATGCTCTATCTCATGAATGATAGGTTAACTAAAAGATTTTTTTAATCCTGTTTTGTTCTGCTTTCTGTAAGTCTCAAAGCTTAGCCTCTTGCTGATTTTGCCACAAAAGCATATTTTGCTAATAAATCTCTAGATAAATCTGTCTTTGTTCTTGTCAGGGAGAAAAAGAGCCATGACACATTTTTCAGTATTCTAAAATGTGTTCTCAGAGGTCAAAGTCATAGTGAGTTGTGATTGCCCCTGCATGGTACACGTTTTCGGGTGCTATTTTAATTTTTTTGTTTTCAACGTTTATTTATTTTTGGGACAGAGAGAGACAGAGCATGAACGGGGGAGGGGCAGAGAGAGAGGAAGACACAGAATCGGAAACAGGCTCCAGGCTCTGAGCCATCAGCCCAGAGCCCGACGCGGGGCTCGAACTCACAGAGCGTGAGATCGTGACCTGGCTGAAGTTGGACGCTTAACCGACTGCGCCACCCAGGCGCCCCTTCGGGTGCTATTTTAATAGGATAGAGTTAAATAACATAAAATGAGAGCTATTTTTTTTTTTGGTTGATTGACTTCGATTACAGAATAATATACTTCAATCAAATGATGAACACATATATGTAAGTGACATCTACACAGAAGAGAAACCAAATGAAAACTCCCCAAACCTAAGTCAAAGATACTACAATTTAATAAACCATTTTAAAGTTTTTTTTTTTAACTGTTTATTTATTTTTGAGACAGAGTGTGAGCCAGGGACACGCAGAAAAAGGGACAGAGAGAGAATCCCAAGCAGGCTCTGCACTGTCAGCACAGAGCCCAGTGCGGGGCTCGAGCTCACAAACCATGAGATCATGACCTGAGCCAAAATCAAGAGTCAAACGCTTAACCAACTGAGCCACTCAGGCGCCCCTAAAGTTTTCTCTTAAGACAATGAGCAGGGAAAGTGTGATGTGATGGGCACTGAGATCTTAGTCCTGGGGTGACGCCCACCATGTAGCAGAGAACCACAGAGCTGCAATTCCCCCAAGAGTGTTTCAGGAACTGGCTTGGGTGACTTTGTCTTGACATAGGAAATTTCCCTCAACCCCTTCTGATCTCAGTTCAATGTTACTTCCATCAAAAATGTTGCACTGATTCCCAAATGCATGCCACATGAGTTATTCCATCTTGCCAGGTAATAGATACACAATTTACATTTTAAAAATCATTTCCTTAACCTCGCTCTTCACCAAGAGGCTACACATTCCATGAGGCAGAAAATAGGCTGTTTGGGTGTTTGGTTTTGCTCACTCTTTTATCCCCAACGCTTAATCCAATCCTTGGTACATAGTAGCTGTTTAGCAAATACACATTACAAAATAAGTAAGTGAAAAGTGAATTAATGAATACTTACTGTTTAAAACAGCTGTTTCGTTTTCATGCTGAGGAAAAATATAAACAACATTTTCCCAACCGACCGCACATGTTTTTTAAATCCCTTTCTGTATGACTACCTATGTACCTGTTACTTTGAAGAGCAAATAATCCTCAACATTTAGCTTCTCACAAATGGGTGTTCATATAACTTTCTTTTGATGAACATCTTCCTGTGTGACTTATAATTTGAAATACCAAAAGGGAGGGAGAAAATGCCTTTTGTCTCAGACTGCTGATTTTGACCTGGCATTGAAAGTCTACTGGACTGTACCTTGTGGGATGATTAACATCACTCGGACTGAGTCTCACCTCCCCAGTGTGTAATACTGTGTTTCTACTGACCCTCCGTGCTGCCCGTCTCACAGCCTGTCTACGCCTATCATGATGGTAACACGAGAACATATGGGAACATGTTTTCTACACTCTGTATATAACCATTGTGGCCTCTGGTCCACTCTTCATTCATATTTTGAGATCCTAAGCTCTAGTGTTAGCGACGGGGTCCTCTGGGAGGTGGTTAGGTCACGAGGGAGGCACCCTCATCAGTGGGATTAGTGCCTTTCTCAAAGAGTCCCCAGAGATCTCCCTCATACCTTCCTCCGTGAGGGCGCAGTGAGAAGACAGACGTCCTTGAACCAGGAAGCGGGTCTTCACCCAGTACTGAATGTACTGGGCCCGTGATCTGGGACGTCCAGCCTCCAGAACTGTGAGAAATAAATGTGTGCTATTTAGGACCCCTCCTCCAGTCTGTGGGATTCTGTAGTAGCTGCCCGGACAGACTAACACAGGAACTAACTACTATCATTCAGATTAGCCCATGCAGAGATATATACAGAGTACAAGGGGTAATGTCCTAAAATGCAGAGTATTGTGGGGCTTAGCGAGAAAATGAAAACACTGATGGAAGATTATTCATTCCTATCTCAGTTGTTAGTCAAACTATTCTATCTAAAAAAGTTTCTTCTGACTGACAACATTCTCTGATTTTAAGGCGAGATGACTATATCTATATGTATCTATCTATCTATCTATCTACCTATCTATATAAAACAAATCACCAAGGCGATTCTTTACAACTATCTTCCTGAACAATAATTTAAAATGTCAAGTAGTAATGTCAAGCCCCAGTCTTTAAAACAACTGGAAAATCAGTTCTCCATGGTCAACGGCCATTTCAGCCCTTCTAGGGACTGACCTGATTCAAGTCTTTGAAGCTTGCATTTACTTTTTTGGATATTCATGTTGAAAGGTCAGAATTTTCACGATTACTGCTAGAAAGCTTCTTTCTCTGGGTTTATACAAAGTTCCGACACTGGCTTGCAGTCACGAGAACCTGGCTTGTATTCATCTTCCTTCTTTTTGTTCCTCGTTAACTCGTATTCAAAGAGAGGATAGGACAGGCTCGCCCACACTCTCTAAAACGTTTCATTATGTTCAACACAAGGGACGCGGCCGAGAATCTGAGAATTAAGGCTGCAGTAAGAAATTCAGAATTACAGACAATGTGACCTTTGCAGATGTGCTGATGGCAGTTACAAACATGGGCCTTACCGATCTTTCAGCATGGTGGTGGACACACAAACACAGCTGGCTTTGAACAATCACTGGCTTGCCTTCTGATAATCACCGTTCTTCCTTTCGTCTATTTTGCTGGTCACCAGAAATAAAACTGTACATATAGATGAGATCATATATCACCATTCTATCATATCTTGATTATAAGTAATCATATATTATACAAACGTATACTATGTGATACGTAATGCCTATATAAAGAAAACCATATATATTTGTCTACATAATCTACTTATATATTTGGTGTCTAATATTATTTAAAGAAGAAGACAAACGCTGCCCAAATCTTGTTTTTTGTACCCTTGGCTCTTGACTGTAATATTTTATTTCATTGAAGTTTATTTATTTTTTTAGTAATCTCTACATCCAACTTGGGGCTCAAACTCACAACCCTGAGATCGAGAGTCCCGTGCTCTACTGACTGAGCCAGCCAGGCGCCCCTTGACTGTAATATTTTCCAGTAACAAACAAAACCACATTCAGATGAAATCACGGCATCCAGGATCCCACGGAATCCTCTGACACTTGCGGGCAACTCATTTGGCCAAGTCTAATACAGAAATCTTTCCGTGGGTCAAATATGTAAGTGTTTAGTGTTTGTTTTATTAGTAACTAAAACAATTTGGGGCATTTGGCACAAGCCTGCCAAATAATATATTGTCTATCATGAATATTTACTCAAGCCCACAGCTAACCTTCCATCAATCATCTTTTGAGGTGGCAAAATATGCAAGATAAGGTAATGCTTGTGAACCTGTGTTTACTTTGCATGATAGTACCGCTTACATCTAAATGCTGGAAAAAAGATACTTTTCCATGGAATAATTAAAATAACGTTTTAGTATTTAGTAGGTTTTAGTATTATAGCAGAGTCAAATGCTGGCCATGTTGGATTTGCTAAGGTCACATGCTGTTCTCAAATATTCTCTGAGAAGAGAAATATTCCGCGTATTTCCTGAAACCATGGGGTTTAGAGGGGCAGTTGTTATTATCTGATAAGAATGAATGCTCTATATACCAAACCAGATAAGCTTTGGGGCTTTTCAGTGTTCGCAAATAAATCACGGGGGTGCCTGGGTGGCTTAACCAGTTAAATGTCCGATTTTGGCTCAGGTCATGGTCTCGCGGTTTGTGGGTTTGAGCCCCGCTTCGGGTTCTGTGCTGACAGCTGGGAGCCTGGAGCCCGTTTCAGATTCTGTGTCTCCCTGTCTCTCTGCCCCTGCCATACACTCTTTCTCTCTCTCAAAAATAAACATTAAAAAAATTAAAAAAAAAACAAATAAAACATGAATCTATAAACCTAGAGCAAAATTAATCTCATTCAATCCTTTTAATTTTCAGGATCTGAGACCCCTGGAATTTAACTGAGTCAGAATCTACAAACCAAATCCCCAGCAAATGGATGTAAAAGGGAACACATAGAAGCTTCCAGATCACCTTAGCCATGTTGCTACTATATAATATATATTATATAATGTGCAATTGTATATAATGATTACATATATCATGTGAGCTATATTGTATGTTATATATATGTTGGTGATAACACGCACACATTATATTTATTAGCTGTGCCTTTGAAATGTTTCCAAGCTGCATTTCCATCTGCAAAGCCCTCAAGTTCATTCTCTTCAAACCCTCCTTTGCTGTACTTGAAGCTTGTGCAGGAATCCCAGGAACTTAAACCATGTGGCAAATCCCAATTACATGCGAGTATGTGAAGCATGTAAAGAGCATAACTTGAAGAAGATAAATATTAGCCCCACTTGACCGTGATGTCAAATAAAGTAGACACGGCCCGAACTCCTAGCAGGCCTGTGGGAGTGGAAGACGGCCCACAGATTCCTTCACTGGCTGGAACCACAGCATTCCTGACTTCCCTCCCAGTCTAGCTGGAGGAAGGGTGACCAAGCTCCGGGGGAGGACTAGATCCAGAGTCAGTGTTACCATGAGCAGTTCCTGAGAACTGAGACGTCCAATCTCCATTTAGACGACTGGTCAAGTCTACGTCAAGCTGTGCCCCAGTAACACACACGGTTGCTCACAAATGAGTAACAGGGACGTACCCATCCATGCATTGACATGTTGGTTGTGAGGTGAATACACGTGTAGAAAGTCTCACGTTTTCTTGGTCTGCTTGAATAAGGGGCTCCTTGCAAGCACACTGCAAAACCTAAGTAAGAAAGACAAAATGAGTGCACATGAGTACAGGGTAGGACAAGGTCTATCTGTGAACCGTAGAGAATAAACCATAGCCCTTGTCCTTCAGGGGTCTGCATAGAAGCAAGAATCATGGACCTCGGATGACCAGATAGGCTTTACAGAACAAGCTGGAAATGACCCAAGAACAGACAGATTTTAGTCATGTATGGGGCTTGGGGGCGTGCGGCAAGAAACATACAGTGTGTAAGCCTCACTTCTCTGTACTTTGGAGACCTGAAGATCTTCATTCAACAGAAGAGCAACTGGAAGCCAGTTCACTGTCAAGAACAGCCAATGTCAACTCCAGGAACACCTTTGGGATATCCCTCTGTGCCCAGGACTGAATTTACCATGAAGCAAAAAAGAGATAGGAATCCCCCACCCCCCCACTCAACTGCTGGGATGATTAACATCACTCAGACCAAGGTTCAGTGGACTCAACTGAGTCAAACGTCTCTTCTCTCGCTTCTAATTTCTGTCCCTGGGTCTGCATCTCTCAGGGCCAGTTGGGAACAGGAAACCCCTTTTTCCCCAGAAGAAATGCCTCCCATGACACAGTGCAGCGGGGCTCCTTTGCTTCTGGCCCCCACAGATTGATTTCATCATACCATAGCTTCCTCGTCTACTTTTTCACATCTATTCATTCACTCAATGAGTGAGTATCTACCAAATAGTTGAGTGAAATGCTCATTTTCAAAAACGGATTCTGTAAGTACAATGCGAAACAACACAGGTGGGGCTCGTCTCCTTAGGGATCTAGGCGTGCCATCTGAAGGCTTTCCAAAGTGCAAAGGTATGGGTCACTCAGACATAAACCACTACGTATGGTGCAGCCCACATCTTTATGCTCCTACACAACTTTCTCAAGTGTTCACGTTTGGGAATAACTGTTCACACTGGAACACGCACGGCTGGACTGACAGCATTAAATACTTGATAACTGAACATCTGTAATCACCATGTATTTTATATTCAGATTGAGAAGAGGAACATCCTCCTGAAAAAAAAAACATTGCACATTCCAGAGCTGTGACTCAACAATTTACTGTGTCAGACTGAATCTTACCTTTTGAGCTTCTCTGCCTCCAGAGAAGGGGTTAGCCTGGAAATATTCATAGAGCAGCTCTGGAAAGAGGGGGGGGGGTTGTCAAATGAGAGCATAGCTGGGAAGTGCTCTTATGGCCTGAAATGAGACGGGCATCATCATGGTATGGGGGTGACCTGGCATTCAAAGAGGAGGCTCTTTGTCTGTGTGGTAGGGAATCCATGGGCCAGGGTGTGGTCGGGATCATGTGAGTACTTGGAAGCAGATGATCATGCTCCAGAGACTTGACAAGGCTGATTAACAGCCCCCTCATGGGGAGAAGCCCTAGGAGGTGAGACAAGACACCAGGTTCGACCGACCTGTGTGAGTCTTGAAAGTCAGACCATCTCTTTCTACTTCTCACTTCACCTCCCAGTGTTCTGGAAAGTGTTGCATCTCAAAAAGGAAGTGTGTGAATTTCTTCTTCTGGAGATGCAGAGGAGGCATGAGAGACAATTCAGAAGGCATCAAAGCATCCCCATGGAAAGGATGAGCCTGTGTGGTTCGCCACCTGTGGGGTTTCCAGAACCGCCCTAATAGGCCATGGCCTCCTGTTCCATCCACCAGCCTCTGCCTCAAGTTATTAGTCTTTCCCTGCCATGTTTCCTTTTGACAGGTAGCAAATCGAGGGCATCAATCTGCTGTTACCTCCGAAGCTTTTGAAAGAAATCCTGAGCAATGTCGCTCAGACCCAGAGCAAGGACATTCTGACAGCTGCCTTACCAGAAGGGCATTTTTTACCCTGGTGAAATGCAGCAAACAAAACTGTCAGATTGACAATGACATCCAAGTATATAGTAGAGAAAGATCACGGTAACTAATTGTGTCCATACAATAAAATATTCACTGGTGATTTTTCTTGAGTTGACATTGTGTTCCGTAAGAATGTGGTAGCTTTGTCTCATAAACGTTTTCATCTTTCTGTCTAAGGACAGAGCAGTTAGGACTCAACCACAATATGGAAACTCCAGAAAGAGGATTTTCCTCCAAACCTGACCACATTTTGTAGAGAGACTGGACCAAGTGAATGAAGTGCCAGGCTTTCTAGAGTTGGCAGGTATCGAAGTCATGCAAAAGGCTTTCTCTCTAAATGTGCGTACGTGTGTGTAAGAGTGAATATGTGCCCCCACCCACCCACCCACCCAGCCACACAGGCACAGGCATGCCTTTAAGGAAACATAATGAGACATTTTTCATTTGTTTGAATCCGTATGTTTTAGGGTAAGGCTCAGTTCGTCAAGAGCTCCAATGAAGACAGCAAATGCACTTCTTGGCAACTCTATTTTCCAACATTTAAAAAAAAATTTTTTTTAATGTTTACTTATTTTTGCAGAGAGAGAGAGAGAGAGACAGAGAGAGACAGAGCATGAGTGGGGGAGGAGCAGAGAGGGAAAGGGAGATACAGAATCTGAAACAGGCTCCAGGCTCTGAGCACAGAGCCCAACGTGGGGCTCAAACCCACGGACAGCGAGATCATGACCTGAGCCAAAGTCGGACGCTCAACCGACTGAGCCACCCAGGCGCCCCTCTATTTTCCAACATTTTTACAGAAAACACCACCCATACGTCAAGTTGGGGAGGGAGACTAAGAATTTTGTTTTAAATATTCTAGGAAATATATGTGGAAAGTTTTACTAGTTTCTGTATAATCCTGTATACATAAAAGTCATTTCGAAAGTACCCAAGACTTAGTGCTTGAGGTCTCACAGGTGGGAGCTCATGGTGGGAGTCCATAGGGAAGAGAGCCTTGCATAGTGCCTCCAACTGCTGGAGCTCAGGTTGGTCAGGCTGAGGACTGCCTTCCTAGCGGTACATTTACAGTTACATCAAGTCTGTGCATGCCTGGGACCCACTAATGAGTGAGGACATAGGGCAGGGGAAACAGCACGACGTATCTGCTATAAAACAAAACCAGAGCTTCTGTATTGCAAATTTTGAGGCAGAATCCTGGCTCCTGAGAATGTTCAGCCAAATTATTTGCAACCTGGGATATATAAATATGCAGCAAAGTCTAGACCTGTTCTGTTTACTTTCTCTTTTTCTCTCTCTCTCTCTCTCTTTTTTTTTTTTTTTTTTTTTTTTTGCTGCTGCTACAAAAGTATTTTTTTTTTTCCCCTTTCTTCTCCTCCCCTTAAAAGAAACTGCCCGGGCTGGCGTGTTCATCAAAGCAATTCAGTGAGAATGCACTTTGACAGACTGCATTAAGAATGTTGACTTGTGAAAACAAAAGGTGGTTTTATAATGCACATAAATTATGTGCTTTAAAAAAGCTGAAAGTTCAGAATTCTTTAATGATACTCAAGCAGAGCAGAATGAAGCTTGGCCTATTTTTCGTTTTAGCACTTCAAAAGGTTTTTTTAGGATTCCACAGCTGATAAAACTCAAACAAAAAAGGTAGCACAGTACATTATGGTTTCCTATTTGCATTTATTAAAATTAAATTTAAGTCAACATATATTTATTAAGTATCAGCTGTGAGCCAAACACTGGGCTGAACACTATTTATTAGGGATATAAGTAGAAGTTTGGGAGAACATATCTCCTCACGTGGGTAGTCTATGCAACGTAATGAAAAATGTTATTACTGTGTGACTTGGAAAAGTATTGTGTGATTTCAAAGAAGCACTTGATTATATTTGATTGAGTGTTCATAAAATATTTTTAATGAAAACCAAGTTGTGATCTACACATTTCCTAAGGAGTGGATATTAAAGAAACAAGTATGGAGAGAGATTCCATAAGCAAAATCACCATGAACCAAGGGCACATCCAGGCTCTGTGACGGTGGATGGTCCGTTTAGTGTCTAAAGTCATAGAGAGGAAGAACAGAGATAAAGATGGAAAAAAAAAGAGCACAGACGATTACAAATATTAGAACGCTGTGAACATTTGGTAAGAAAGTGTTCTGATAAGAGCCGTGCTTCCCAATAACTAATCCTAAAATGGTGAGTAGTTAGACTTGTGTGAGAAATGAGAAGACCCACCAGGGTAAAGGTCAAACAGTTCTTTCATGATTTAGAAAAACCTGAAAATGATACAGACAACAATGAATTTGAAACCTGAAGGTAAAGAAAAAAATGAATATATAAACACATAGAATTGACAGCAACATCAAAGCTACCTAATGGCAGGGAATAAATCTAATTATATGATATCTTTTACACAGGGAACAACAAAAAATGCTGAGAGAATTTAAAGAAGACCTAAGTAGAAAAACGTATCATGTCTATAGATTGGAGGGCACGATTATTTTTAAGGTACCCATTCTCCCCCAGCTTGATTTATAGGTTCAATGTAATCCTTACCAATATATCACCAGGTTTTTGCGGCAATTGAGAATTTGAGATCTCAAATTTACACGGGAAGTCAAAGGGCCTAGATTAGCCAAGGTTTTCCTTAAAAAGCTCAAATGTCAAAGGCTTAAGTTACCAGATATCAAGACATACAATGAAGCTACAGTAATCAAGACAGTAGCACATTTGTAAAACACATAAAAGAAAAAAGAAAGTAGCACAGGATTAGACAAAAGAATCTGTGAAACACAGTGTAGAATCTGTAGGATGACCCACTGACACAGTCAGCTTACTTATGGGAAGGTGTTTCGCCAATTCACTGGGGACTGCCAATTAAGTAAGTCATTTTGGTTCAATTAGATATCAATAATTTAAAAGAGGAATTGTTACTCTACCTCAAATAAGTGGATCTAAAATAGATTATAGACTATCTGTAAAATGTAAATAGCACAACTTATAGAAAAAAACCAGGAGAATATGCTTATGAACTTGGGGTGGTATACAACAGTTTTTAAATAGGACACGAAAATCAGTAGGCACAAAGGAAAAAAAAACCTACTAAATTGTTTTTCCTTAGAATTAAATACTTTTGTT